TCTCACGACCTATCGCAAAATCAACATGAAAAATTCATCCGCATTTATTTTTTGTGTGGAACACAAAAAATCAAATTTCAGTCTTATTTTACATTTTTTTCATTCTTAGGAATGTCTAAATTCAGTTAAACTAGCAAGCTTTAAGCTATAACAAAATCAAACGGATATTTCGATAGCTCCTGCTATCTTCATCAACGTTAAAGTGAGAAAACTTGGGAGATCCTTAAACTACATGGTGTCTAATTCCAGATACGAAAAGTAAGATACATCCAGAAGGCTTTAAATCTCCCTGCTCCATATGTTTGGTAGCCCAGTGCTAAATTGCTATAGCAACGTCTTCAGTGATTTAAACAAACTGGTCTCAAACTCTCACTTTCATTTGTACCAAAGTTTGTACCACCGCCAACATTTACGTCAACTTGCGTACGAAGTGAGTTGAGAGAGTGAGTTGAGAGAACATTATTTTTGCTATTTTTAGGCCTACTAATGTTTTAAAAAAAGATAAACTTTGGCTAGTTTGAACATTAGCTACATCCTGAAGTGCGGTCTCCTGTATGCAGATAAGAGTGGATACACACGCTGCAACGTAACCAGTAGCAGGTTATGGGCTTATTAAAATGGCGATCATTAGGCATATACTAATAGGCCGTCCTAAAATATAGACGAAAAATGTGTCCACTTACACTGCAGATAAGCACTGTAGTCGAAGCAACGCATCATTGGGTATCTCTGATATATTGTTCTTCGCAGCATCACTTAAGAGAAAAAGAAGGACTAATAATGTGTGAATTCTGAATGAATCATCATAAAACATTTCGCATGTAGAAAGCAATAATAATAATAATAATAATAATAAATAATAAATAACAAACAACAACAACAACAGCAGCAGCAGCAGCAACAACAACAACAACAACAACAACAACAACAATAATAATAATAATAATAATAATAATAATAATAATGTAATAGCATGTAGCTATTATAAGGCAACAATGGTGAGGATTCAGGCACGCCACCAGGTTCTGATTTTGGTGGGTAAAGCCGACCTCCTAAGGACTCACAAAATATAGAAGGCAAAAGGGGTAGAAATATTGTCGAATGCTAGGATTAAAGGTCCACCACCGCAGTTTAGGACGCGCTGCGTCGGTCATGAACAGGTTTGCTGATATGTAGGAAAATCACACGAGCATCGGCTTTGCGAAAAAAACAAACACACACATTTGGTAGATTTTTAGGGAAATCGCCTTTGTCCAGCAACCCCTACCCTAATTTAGCAACTGTCCTGAAATTACAAGTATACCGACTTTACTCCTTATTTTACACAAAGGCTTTGTAAGCCAACTTTTTATTACGATGTAAAATTGAGAACAAAGACAAAATAGTGAATTAACAAAACAAGTCGATCGTGAAAATCCTGATTGTTACGTAGGTGTTCCTTCATATCATGTGATATGCAAATAATTGGTATAAAGCGTGGTGATATTTTTTATTTAAAATGCAATGACGTATCTATTGGTATTGAAATTGTGAGGACTGATGGGACGCGAACGTGACGTGGGGGTGGGGGCTCAATAATAAAGTGAGGAGAAGCTAGCAGGCAAAATCATGTGGTATGAGGTGATTTTTAAATACACAAGAAATCCCCACGGTTAATGGTCAACATTTGCAACAGCCCTCGTATGGTGCTACGCGCCAAAGTAGAAACTTTTGTTTTGCCTGTCGGGGCCGTTGCCCTGTCGTCGGGGAAATCCAAGCCCTACCAATGAGTCGGAGGGTGTTTCCTTAATAGTGGTAAACAGTAGTAGGCAATTGTCAATCTTACAGGTAAGTGGTGCTGACTGGAATACCACCAGGTAAAGAAACTAGTCCAAGTCCCGAGCAATCAACAGAACTTCCTTGACAGCGGCAAATAGCAGGCGAACTGGTGTCTCCACATGCTGACTGACTTAAAACTTCCTTGAGTAGTAGTAGGCCTAGTAGGATTATTGTCCAAATACGTAGAGCAGTCATTGTCATTGCATAACACAATGCCGAGAGATAATGCAGGTAAACTTAACTCTGCTGCCGTTATTTAAGGAAGTATAAAAAGTTTGATACCTCCATGATTGTTTCGATTCCAGTTCTGTATCGGGTGTAGCGATTGGCTGATTGCAGATGTTACAGCGTTCAGTAGGCAAAATAATAATAACAATTCCTGATTTTCTGTTTTTATTGCTCGCCTATAATCATCAAAGTATACATTCGCTGTGTTCATTGGGAATTTATACGAGGCTATAAATTGTGTTAATTATGTCCGCACCGCCTTCCAAAATACACATAGCTATAAAACCCGGCCTGGAAATCAAAATTTTTACAGCACATTGTGAGGCAATTTCAATACTATTGAGTTATATAGTATTTGTTAAGCAAACGAGTATAGTATACTTAGGTCTACTCATAATAATGTAGCATAAAAAGCACTAAACAATTTAAATATATGAGGGAGAACCCCACAAAAAAGCTAGCAAAGTTATTGGAAAAAACAGGTGCCGAAAATAAAGAGTAGTGAGGTGGTATTTCTAAAGGAATTTAATTCTACACATGTATAACTCATCCTCTGCAGGCATATCGAATTCGGAAGGTTGGTAGAATCATGTTGTTTGTTGAATGGTCTTTAATATTACCGTATATTCTAATATGACCACAACATAGGGAAGAACACTTTGTCACCTACAAAGTTCAGACCCATATACATTTATATTTCATTAGGCCTAAATCATAAGGAAGTCCGCTCTATATAAAAATTTAAGGAAATTATACCTTTAATGTATGCACCGACGTGGGAATTTTGTTTTATGTTGTTTGCTGAATGGTCTTCTTTAAAAATATTACAGTCTACATAAGGAAGTCCATTCTTTAAATGTAAATAGTGTAGAGAATATGGTTGTTAATCAAAATCATTATACACATGTTAAATCCAATTAAAAAAATACGTTTTCAGTGCATGCGCCGACGTGGAAAGATTAACCTAATAACCTTTTAAAATTAATCTTATGACCACAACTTTTAAGTTATAACTTCAGAAAAAATAATAATGCATTTTTATTGTACCGCCACCAGCTGGGAAAGTAATTAAATATGCAGAAATGTCTTCTGTGATTGGTTGATTGCCAACATTCAATGCTTAGTGGTTGGATGGTCGGATATAATAATATGCGTAACTCTCATTATAATTTCATATTTCGAAAAATTGTTTAGAGTATTATGATCTCGTTCCATGATAAATACATCCACCTGTTTCTTATACACATCTAGATGTGTATAAGAGACAGCTATAATCACGACGTTAACCTGTCTCTTATACACATCTAGATGTGTATAAGAGACAGCTCTTGTAACACCCCACCCACTGGATATACGGGCCTGGAATCTTTACATTTTACCTGCCAATTAATGCAGTTTTTTACGCTTATTAGATATCTTCTAAATTTCTCAGTATTTTTTTTTTTTTTTTTTTAAATTCTTTTTGAACTTCCAACACTGTATGATTTGAAATTTACACCATTCACGTTGTTGCTCTTCTTCAGATTCTGTGTTTATTTTCAGTCTCTCAGTGCTCGGTGGATATTTTTGACTTTCTTTTTAGATCTAGGTTTTCAATTAGGCTACCAACTCCATGAAAGACTTTTTTTTTTCTTTTCGTATTTTTCTTAACGAATAGCATTCGTTAAAATAATGAAACAATAATTCATTAATCAGAAATTAATAATTAAAATAATATGTTATTGCTTTGGTGTAATTTTGGAATAACAAAATATAATAAAATTATGTATGCCTTTCAATAAGGTTATAAGAATCAACGCACATGTATAGCCTCCGTGTGATTGATTTTGTATTAACTATACATTGTGTAATAATAATAATAATAATAATATGTACCGTATGTCATCGTGCAGCCAATTTAATTACAGTCCCTCTTTGATTAATACTTAAGACAATGCGAAAGGTTTATTTTGTGTATATATTTTTGTCTTTGGTTTAGGTAGGTGGCATTTCTGACAGAAAGAGTTGGAATTCGCCAGACCACACGGCACTGCTATCACTTTATATTGGCAAACGGTGCGAAGAGGTCTGGATCCGCGCCTCCTCCCTCTAGGCGCCCGCATTGCACTCTCATACCTTACAACAATACAATACTTATTTTTCTTAATACAATTTAAAGGGGGGGGGGTGCGACCGCACCCTCTGCATCCCCGCTGCATCCGCCCCAGAGAATCTAACCCCGGCATCATAGGTAGGTGCAATATGTTTGGCATGTGTGTTCTTACTGTGTACAAATAAATATAATGCGAAACACAAACACAAGAAGCGTTATGAGCGATTGTTGTGAAAGAGTATAAATACACTATTTAATTATTTTTGCACCTTAATAATGTTATTTTGAGTAGCGCATCTGCAAAACACATTTTTTTCATTAGGAATTAGCAGAAACTACTGTCACATCCTACTTTCCCGGTTGCCCTAATCCCTCCCCTCCCTTTGAATCTGTCTATCATTCCAGATTAAGCACATTGTATCCAAAGGAAAATACACCATACACAATTTCTGAGCATTACATTACCCTGAATTGAATTGGACGCTGCTGCGTTAGACATGCGCATAATCTGAGAAAACTATCAGGAATATCATCACAAAAATCATCTGTTTCCCTGTATGTAAATCAGGTTGTATATCAGCGATATCTTTCAAATAAAAGATTATTTTTACTTTTTTTTTTATTTACAATGAAAATGCAGAGAGTGTAAAGATTTTACGTTCATTAATACAAATTTGCTTCCCTAATTAGTAATATGCTACTAAGCAAAATATAAACACAGAATTTTAATGGACCCCTCCGGAGTGTCAATCAAACTGTTGAATAGTTGACCAATCAGAACATCAGAACAGGGGCTTGAATATGCGCGTGTTTAACAAGCACACGTTGTGTTTATCCCACAAACACACAAGTTTGCGTATGTTTTTTTAAACAGTTTCGTTTTGTGGGATCTAGCAACAATATTCACAAGGTGGGGATTACAAGAAAAGAGGCAACGAGGTAGTTTTCGCCGCACGACGTTAACCTTAATTTATTCATCTTGCGTTGCGGAGTACGTTAAATATCAAGATTTTCCGTGCTCGACGTACGTTAGTTACGGGTTTACGCATGCGTATTTCGATCTGTTTTCAAAAGGGGAGGAGCTATCGCGCTGCACGTTGGGTACTAACATTAAAGTTAAGGTTAACGTCGTGCGGCAAAAACTACCTAATAATTGCACAATTATTTTACACTAATTGTATTTCTATAAATCAACTGCTGTAATATCTGCCCTATGTTCAAATTCAAGAAAGCTTTGGTGGTTAATTATTGCATAATTATAATACTGTTTTTTTTTCATTTATATATTAAACATTTTTAATTATACATAGTATTTTGAGGAAGCCTAATTGATTATATTTACATATTAAACAAATTAATATTGTCGCACATCACTCAGCATATTAGCGCGGCCCCTCAAAAAGATTATTATGTAATACATAATGTGTAATATGTTTAGTAGGCAGATACACAATTCCGAAAACGTAGTTACAGATTCCATCTTACAGTACAAGGAAAACCACAATTTATGTATTGTAGTTAAAACAAGAGGGACCCTGTAAGCCACCACCGACCTTTCACACACACTCTCTCTGGGTTGACACCACATTTTCCTTCTGAATCTCCTATTTGTTAAAACACATACATACACCACACCTTCAATTATCACACATTCTCTCACTACATACACTTTATTCATATAATGTCACCTCTCCACTTACTAATTTGTTACATGTTATCTTAAATTGACCTCAGTCACATTGTGAAATCCATCTTTCAATACTGTTAATTGTTTGCAAATGCAATAATAATTAATGGAAAGACACTGTTCCAATTCAATAATTCCATCCAATTGTAATCATGTTCTACTTCATTTCTTAGAATTGGTTAAATTAGTAATATATGTATATATATGTATATAAGCCTACAATCCTATCTGTAAAGTAATTATATAAAATATGATGTTCCCATTTACATAATGGATTAAGAATTAAATTTAGATTCAGCTGGCTTAATCTGTGACATCGATGATCAGTGGACAGACAAACTCTGAATGCCTGATGCCGAGCGAATGGCTTGGATATTTCCTTTTGTTGACGTACACCTTCTCCGGGCTGTGTGCCCCTGGTCCCGGCTTCTGCGTGCTGTCTCCAACACCATCGTGTCGGCCCAGCATTGAATAGCTAGGCTTTTTGACATGTACAATGTTCGGGTTTATTGCGTGGTAGCGTCCGGGTCCGGGCGTTTTCGCAAGATCTTCGAGGTACCCGCCAACCTTAGAGCGTGCTGTCATTGAATAGCTCGAGCTGGATTTTTTGTTTGGAACCTTGCTTCCGTGCAACGATGGCAAAGAGTAATTGTTAGCAGCAGGACATTGGTCACGTTTTCGGTATCGAGTACGAGCACCCATTGAGTGGACTGGGGCATGCCTCTCTCCCTGCGGATGACACTTTTCTGGGCTGTATGCGTAAGGTGATGGCGTTACAAACGAATCTGCAAATAAACAAGTGTATAGTTTTTGATCAACAAATACTGTAATAATAATAATAATAATAATAGATGGATTTATATAGCACATATAAATGAGGTCTCTGTGACTTTCTCCTCCCCTGATATGAGGGTCACTTCATGTCTTCAGCAGCCAGTAAACCGGTGCACTTTCATCTGTCCATGACAGGGGCCGAATGAACCAGTACACCGGGGTAACCCCCTATTCATCTCAAAAAATGTACCGGGTTCTTTAAAGTGCACATGAGCATTTGTGTACACTGGGCCTACGGTTTATAGTCCTTATCTGAGAAGACTTGTTCCACCACCAGAACTATAGGAGCGAGCTGGCCGCTAACCTGTGCCGATATAAACTATATAAATCAGATGATAAATGAACAATAAAAGCATACTATGACTGTAACGGATGCCCATTGAAAAGTTGGAATATCAAAATGTTTTCAGTGCCCTACAAGAAAGCATTTATCTGTCACTAAGCCTAAACCCATCTAGAGGTTTAATAGCCCCTGACACAAACAATTTGAATAGCAATATAAAATCAGCAAAAACAAATACTTTTTGATGAGTTTATTTTACAAATCTTAGTAATCAATAATTACTGTTATTTTTACTTACTTGGGTCACGTTGTCTACCTAATATTGAGTAAGCAGGTGTACCATCCTGTCCATGTCGAGTAACTGTTGGATTTATGAAGTATGCTGGGCCTGGACTGTTGTCTTTTTTAAACACTGTTCACATATAATGCAAAATGTTAGTTGATACATCAATTGACTGCATAAAACATGAATAAAATAATTTAATTTTTTTTTTATAATACTATATCCATTATATTTATTAGATTGACTGATTTTATTTATTTTGTCATAAGCCCTTTTACATCCTTTGTTAACAATCAGAAATGTATAGTTTAAACACAAAAACATGTTATAGTTAAAGTCGTATTGTCCCATGAAAAATAACCAAAAATATCCTTAAAAAATCATTTTTTAAATTAACTTGCACATTTTGAAGTAACAAAAACTAAATTGAACATAGAGACTAGTGTATTGTTTACCCACAATTTTACAGCAAAAAATGATAAATACTGTACACTTGCAGCCACTGGAAGTGTTTTTATTATTTTTTATCATTATTCAGTATAAAATTCATGCTACACATTTCAGATTCGGCTGCCGTTTTGTAATTGTTTTTTTATATGTTTATACCTGAATAAATAAAAAACATTTGTAAAAATTTAATAATTTCTATGGTCAAGTTAATATTTTGTATGTTACTGCAAAGTGAGCAACTTAATTTCAAATTTATCAGTTTTGATTTTTTTTTGTCACTTTCATGAAATAATAGGCCTACATCTTTAAGACAATTTTTTATTTAAAAAAAATATAACCATACTATAGATTATAATAAAACTAATTGCATGATTAACATATAAAAAAAGGCTTACTTGAATTTTCTAGTCGTTTACCAAAAGAATATGATGGTTTCATGTGTTTTGAGAAGTCATGATGCAGGTATCCACAACTGCTTGGTAATTTATACCTTCCTGGTCCGGGGCCTAGGATTAAATGGATTTAATGGATTAAAGAAAAATCATAAGTCCACTGAAATGACCAGGGTTGAAATGACCCGGATTCTGTGTTGAGCTAAAGAGCAATCCATCCTAGGCCTAGGCCTTAAGTTATACAACTTTCAACGTTCCTTTATTGATACATCACTCTGGTAGGCCTGATGTGGCCCTCTATTATTATTAGCCCCTCTTGACTTCTTAAACTTTGACTTCCATCCTAGGCCTAGTCCTTAAGTTATACAACTTTCAACTTTCCTTTATTGATACATCACTCTGGTAGGCCTGATGTGGCCCTCTATTATTAGCCCCTCTTGACTTCTTAAACTTTGACTTAAAATGATTTATGGAGTCAGCTTCAACTGTACTACTACTAGTGTTGTACTCTACTCTACTGTATTCATTAATGATATGGTCAAATTGTACAAAAAAGATTAAACTAGTCATGAAAAAGGTACAAATATTTAATTAAAAAAATACATCTAAAACAGATACCAGGCCTACCTACCTACTAGTACTCTAGGCCCTAGTAGGCTATGTACTATCTAGGCCTACTACTAGGCTACCTAGCTAGGCCAGGCCTCGTAGTATACTGTAGTAAGTAAGAAGAGTAGTCCTTTCTGGGCCCTAATTTAACTCACCTCTTTCCCTCGCTGCAATTATCGCCGTTGGTTTGTCTTTTTCTTCTGTCATGGTTCGTCCTTATTTTTATACCTCCTTGGTTCGTCTAAAAATTGCTAAACAAAAATAAGGTTGCGAACGTGTTTCTAACAACTTTGGCGTGAAAAATAATCTGCGACAAAGTCTTCACCACTTTATACACCACACACCAGTGTGTTGATTGTTTTTGTTGAATATTTACTATATACACCACCGTTCACCTCCCCTCCAAACATTCCATTGCTAGGGACGCGGTATCAAACACGTGCTACCCTAGCAACTGTTATCACTATAAAAATGTTCTTTAGAATATGTTAATTTTATAGCCTATAATACATTTTAATTGTAAAGGTAAGTTTAATAAATACTTTTAAATGTAATTAATTTAATAGAAGACTTTTGATAAGGTTTAAACAATATGGTTTGAATATTTTTTTCAAAATATAAGTATGTTATAATTGCATTTGTCAAACAAATTTCGCTCAACGAGTACGCCTGGTCACTGAAGACTATTCACTTAATATTGTTTTTGCTGAGGGCGCTGTCAAAGCAAAATGTCTGACATGGATGATGATTTCATGTGCGATGAAGAAGTCGATTATGATTTGGTATGTCATGATTACCTTTCTCCAGTTATTACATCATATCTATATTTTAGCAATGATTATTTGGTTATATTATATGTTCTTAATCATTCATTTTGTGGATACATATAACGAACTTGCAGGCATTCGTTGTGAAGCACTAGGCCTAGGCCCTGGCCTTACCCTTTTTTTAGCCCTGTTTTATGGGTTTAAAACAGTACCTCGGCCCGTTATCACTCCCCAACACTCCGGTCTACATAATCACCGGTGAACGAATATAAATGATTGTGGGTCAAATAATCCCAGTTAGTAGTACAATGATGGAAGGAAGAGGTCCAGCTACCTACAGTACGAGGAATAGCGATTATGTTTTACCATAGTATAATTAGGCCTAGGCCTATACTATAGTCTATAGGCCTAATATACCAAGCTCCAGATGTAGGCATAATACTAGGCCTAGCCCTAGGGCCTAAATGAATAATATATGAAATTACTAGGCTACTTTACACACGTCCCATAAATACTGACACTGTTTAAGAATGTGATATTTTAAACAATAATTTACAAATTTAAATTATACATGCTAATAATAATAATAATATATGTGTGTTTACATAATTCGTAGTAGTAGCCAGGGCTTGGCGCAAGAGTAAGGTAGTAATGAATCAATTGATATACATTGTATCCACACAATTTTCATTTATTATTATTATTATTATTGTTATTATTATTATTTATTAGTCATTAAGATTTGGCATTAATATAAGGAAGTGATTCAAGCATAATGCAGCATGCCATTTTTTGGTTACAGTCAAGTTAATATGTTTGATTTTTGTTAATTCTACCATGCCAAACAGGAACTACATATTCTTAAACTGTATAGGGTTAGCATAACCTGTACAAAGACCTTGTTTTTAGTTGAAAAATAGTCAGCGAGGGATGACAACCCTAACTATTTTGTTTTTCTGAAGCAGTTAGTGTTTATCCAGGCATTACAAACAAGAGAGTGATTCTTACCTTCTAGTATCTCTATTCTTCTGCTGAAATTAATTTATTGTACTTTTATAGAGACTTGCATTAAACATTCTCCACACAAGGTTTATGCTTCTTCAATGAAAATACATTAAATAAAATTCTGAAAAATTATAAAGATTTTGAAAATTCAGGATCTTTATAATTTTAATGTCGTTGTCTTTGAACAATTAAATTCTTGTCATTTGCCACCCACATTAACTAATAATTTTTTTATAAAACAAACAAATTCACAATCATTTAACAAAACAAACAGATCAATTCTATTTGCCATTTGGTTTGTCTCGATTTATCTTACTTATAACAGACAAATAAACTCAATTTTAAAATTGCAAGTTACTTAATAACAATAATAATGGTTATTTCTGCATTAGAATTGATATAATTACTAAAATAATAAAATAAATAATTATTTAAGAGAATATTATTGTTACTAATTTACATATGTTGAAAAATGATTTGAATGGTTGTTTACAGTCTGTTTCATAGTATATATATATATATATAGTTGTTTTTTCTTCTTAGGAGCATAAGTACTTATAAGCTTCACTTTTTTTGTACTTACCTCTGTATTTTATGATTTGTTTATTTGTATGATATTTATCAAGTGGAACAAATAAAGTGAGAAAGAAAGAACAAGCATGCCAACAATTAGGTCAAATAATAAAACATATTGTGTTGGCCACGCCCGACCGAAAATTGCGGTTCGGCATTTTATTTTTATTTTTTTATTTTTTTGTACTTTTATTTACTACGTTGAAAAATATTTTTTTAATGAGCAGAAAAGGCTGGAATAGGCCTATCTTTCTGGATGGTAGGCAGTGCGACAGTGTTACTGCATGCAATCGTTTTGCTCCTCAATATAGATTTTAGAATGGACTTGTTGTATTTTTGTGTATTTTCTACTTTTTAGGCATAAACACATTATTGAAAAAAAATGCCAAAAAACAAAAACAAAAAAATACCCTTTTCCTACAGATCTACCGATTTTTTAACATTTTCTGAAAATGTGGCCAACACAAGAATTTTTTTTTGTTGGCCTTATAGTAATAACATTTTCAATCATTGATGTTTTCCCAGGAATATTCTGAAGAAAGCAATTCTGAACCGGATGTTGATTTAGAAAATCAATATTACAATTCAAAAGCTCTTAAAGAAGATGACCCAAGAGTGGCATTGGACAGTTTTCAAAAGGTTTGTATTCAATATAGTTTAATTTTGTGGTGCAGTGTTTTATATTTCATTTTACATTGGTTTCAAAGTGCTTTCTTCCTGGTCATTATATGAGAAATGACAACAGCACTTTTAAGACTAACTACAAAATGTATTGCCTCTTGCTATCATCCTGTCTGCACAGTGGACTTTCGTCAGGGGTCTGTTCAAATGGAATGAGGTTAAAGTAACATCTATAATGCAGTTACACATAGAGAAACAAATGTGTTGATTCTGATGCTTAACATCTCCCTACTACATTGATCTTGTTCAGTATGTAGTGACAGATATAGGAATTCAAAATATAGCGGGCCCAGGGATGGACTTTCACAGATGAAGGTTCTAGACTAAGAAAATTTATGTTTATGGCACCTCTTTGCATTGGCAGACTTAAATCTGAATATAATTTTCTATTTTTTAAAATAATTTTGAGAAATTTGGGGGTCCCTGACCTGGGTGGGCTCCCTCCCCTAGAATTCACCACTGGTTTAATTTCATTCTAATCATACCAGTACACATCTGTACTCTTCAGTGAGGCATAAGGCTGAGGCAATAATGAATATTTGCAGAGAGACCACCATAGGTAAAGTGCCTTGGCCAAACACACAAGCAAATTTCACTGCGAGGAATTAAACTTCTGACTTCAATGTTGTGAAGCAGAAAAATAATTATAATTTTGTCACTGTTTATTTTTGTGTGACAGGTTTTGGACCTTGAAGAAGACAAAGGAGACTGGGGTTTTAAGGCATTAAAACAAATGATTAAAATCAACTTTAAACTGGTAGGTTAAATTGAAGTATGATTTAGTTTTTTGGTTTTTTTTTAAATGCTGATCAGTATTTAACATCATCTGTGTCACTTATCTTCACTATCTTCACCATTCATTTTATCTTTGAGCAAGTTGTATATAGAACTTAATGTAAAATTATTCTTCTTACAGCTTTGTCCAGGTTATAACATTTTCTTTGACAAATAAAAACAACTGCTATATGTACATATATCAGGGGCGGATCCAGAGATGTCCAAAAGGGGGGCCAAAAGTCCTAGGGGGTCCGGGGGCATGCCCGAGAAATTTTTATGTTCTAGACGACGGAAAATAACGTTTGAGGCGTTCTGGGCCATCATCTTTTTCTTTTTCTTTCTTTTCCTTTCTTTTTTTTTTCTAAATTTTTTTTTTTACCTCCCCAAAGGAGGGGGCTGGGCTGCCACTAATCTGCCACTGTATATGGTCATGATGTGATATCATCATGACCATATTGAGACATGTCACATTTTTCTGTCAAATAAAATTTGATAGTCTGTACAAATGTTGACCATGATTTCAATCATTTTGTGATTGGTAAAAAAAAGGGTAAAAGTTGGAGAGTAACCCATAACTTGCAGCGTCATTGTACTGAATTGTATATTGGCGTGGTCCGTGACTACCTAGAAGCCATAAAGAGGATCTCTGGACCCGCCCATGGTAGCTACTTGTTCACGTCATTCCATAACGTTGGTCTTGCGGTTGTTAATCATTTGCCCAAATAATGGAGTTATATGACATGATCATGCCCATATATATTCAGGCAAATCACACTTATTATTTTTCATATAAAAATTGAGTGTGTTGACAGAGAGGTATTGGGCTTACAGGATTTCAACCATGGCTTTCAACCAATACTGCAACAGATTTTCACCACACCCCATACCGGAACTAATTCTAAAATGGAATTCTCTGCCACCTTGCATTAAAACTGCAATGGATGTGCAAAATTTTAAAGCATTCATAAATAACTTAGAATAACCACTCTGGTCACTTTGCCGATGCATTGCTGTACGTTGATATCCACATCAGGCATTTTGTGCAGTAATAGACGAGACAAGACAATAACTATGAAATCAGAGGCAACCATCTCTTATGATCGAACTAGCGTAATATTTGTAACAATTTATTTTTTGTTCTTTGAAATAGGGAAATTATGAAGAAATGATGGGAAGATATAAACAGCTGTTGACATATATCAAGGTAAGGAATAAAATATTACCTAGTCTAGTGAGGGTATATTGTTATCATTACCATTAGTTAGTTTAATGTAAAAATATGTAGAATTAACAGCTAATATGTGTCAGGCCAAGCATAAAGAAATTAAGCAAATCAACCTCAGATCCGAGACTCAAACCTGAGACTCGAACCTGGGATATTTGGCTAGCACACCAAATGTCATATCACTAGATCACGAAAACGTTTTTGACGATTCCAAGTGACAATTGCAATAATAGTTTAAAAAGTCTGTAAATCATTGAACTTTGTATTATTTGAAGTGAGCTATTCAGTTTCTGGAATCTAATTACTTACTTCCCAACAACCCCAGCGAAGGGGTTCACAAGGTTAGGGTTGAGATTAAGATAAGTAACCACAGGGCAACAGGATCTGTATGAACCAGTACACCGTGGTTACCCCACTCGCCTCGAAAGATGTACTGGGAATATTTAAAGTACATTTGAGCCAATTGTGTACACTGGGCCTACAGTTTATAGACCTTATCCGAGAAGACTTGTTCCACCATCAGAACCATAGGTGAGTGCCATTCGAACCAGCACCGATATGATGGCTGGAGATTATGGCACCTCTGCTTACTGCTTTGCCATTTGACTCGGCCATTTGATTGAAATTATTAGAGTTTTCCTATACAAAATATCTTAATGGGCATTTCTTCAATATATTTCAGAGTGCAGTTACAAGAAATTATTCAGAGAAGTCTATAAATAGTATCCTCGATTACATCTCCACCTCAAAAAACATGGAGTTGCTACAAGAATTTTATGAAACTACGCTAGGAGCACTCCGTGATGCAAAGAATGATAGATTATGGTTCAAAACAAATACAAAGGTATGGAGATATGGTGGTGATGGTAATGGTGGTGGAGGTGGTGGTGTTTTGGTAATGATGATGGAGATACTTATAGCGATGGTGGTACAGTAGAAGTGATAGTGGAGGTGATAGTAGTGATGTAATAGTTAAGGTAATGGTGGTGATAGAGATAATGGTAATTATTGGTAGTGGTGGTGATGATGATGGGGATAGTGGTAACGATTATGGATGCGATGATGATGTGGTGTTTGATGATTGTGTTGTATGGGTGGATGGATGTATTCAGTGTAAACACTAAAGAATAACCCACAAAAGTTTGAAGAAGACTTATTTGCTGCGAAGCAGCCAATTCATATTCTTGACAGCAATTTGACCTCTGAAAGGTCATTGTTTGTCAAAAATCAATCGCCTGAGACAACTGAAAAGCGGAGTTTCCTTCTTACGTTCTGCCGGGTATAAAAAATCAATTACTTTAGGCGACGTTCGTAGACTAACCTACTCGTACCAACGTCGGCATGTCGCGACGCTGGAGTACTATTCAGCGTTTTTACTATATTTCTAGGT